TGCAGAAGGAAGCTGAGGAAGAAACACAACCTACAAACTATCTACAGTCCCACTAAGAAAATCTCACAAATGCTGCATTCAGTAAAGGACAAGAGGGATCCTCTCACCTCTGTGGGAGTCTACCAAATACCATGCAGCTGTGGACAAGTCTACATAGCGACCACCACATGCAGCAATGTCCAGACACAAATCAAGGATCATGAAAGGCTCTGCAGATGAATTCAACCAGAGAATGTATTGTCAAAGGCTTTCATGGCTGGAATCACTGGGTTGTTGTAGGTTTTTCCGGGCTATATGGCCATGTTCTAGAATGCCTCTAGACCATGGCCATATAGCCCGAAAAAACCTACAACAACCCTCAACCAGCGAAGTCAGCCATAGTAGAGCACTTGATAAACCAACCTGGACACAGCATATTATTTGAGAATACAGAAATGCTGGACCTCTCGCACAACCACCATATCAAACTACATAGAGAAGCCATTGAAATCCACAAGCATGTGGACCATTTCAACAGAAAGGAGGAAATTGTGAAAATGAACAAAATCTGGCTACAAGTATTAAAAAACTCTAAAATCAAAACAGTAAATAAAAAACAACACACTGAAAACGGAGGAAATCCAGAGAAGAAGCAATCAGGGCTAGCTAACACCTCCCAACAAAGGATGCCTTGAGGCAGGAAACAGCCAGGCTTTGAAGCTGCAAGACCATTCAGTGCTAATGAAGGTGGCCAATTGCAACATTCACACTTGGCTCCAACAGACAAGAGTTATTTCTCCACCCTGGTCATTCCATAGATATACCAACCTTACTTGCCTTGTTTCCAAAAGACCTCACAACCTTTGAGGATGCCTGCTATAGATGTGGGTGAAACGTCAGGATAGAATGTTTCTGGAACATGGCCATACAGCCCAGAAGACTCACAGCAACCTTGGTGAGACATTTGCCCTCTTTGGCGAGGAGGCCAAAGACCTTATAAAACTACATAGCATAGCAATTCAAGGCATAGCAATTCAAGAGGTACAAAACTGCATGAATATCATTTATGGACTACTCTAGAATACACCAGCTTACAAGTTTGTAGAACTTGTCGTGCAAATTATGTCATGCCAATGCACACTACAATTTGCACATGAGAGTTAAAGGAAACATTGAATGGGTACAACTCCTCAGTGTAGACACTTTCAAAGCACACTGATTCCAGCCAACTCTTCCTATACCTTGTTAGAAGCTTGTTTATCCAAAGTACCCTTCGGCTTGAAGAAGCTTAGTTTCCCAGTGGAACAGCTTAAATTCCCCTAGACTACCAACCTAGATATAAATGTGTTCTTTCTCAGTGTGCAGTTGCTGATTACCAGCTGCTCTTTCAATCCTCAAGTGTTAATCTGGATTTGAAAGGGGTTTTTTTTATTTAAAAAAAGCACCCTGCATATTTGTCTCAGTATATCTGAGAACACGAATCTCCACCCTAGAACATTCTTGAATTGTCTGGAGTCAGTTTCCCCAAGGCTATTGCCTTAAGAGATCACTTCAGCCCAAGAAAGGCAGAGCAAGGAAGGAGGAGGAGGAACTTCCCCTGATATATATGATCTTCCAAAACATTTCTCTAGCACTTCTGAAAAAGGAGGTGGAAAAAAGGTATCACGTGTCCCAACAATGGATGCCTCCATGTCTCGAATGAATAGAGTTTGATATTTAGCTGCCATGGTTCAATGGTATTATTATTATTATTATTATTATTATTATTATTATTATTATTATTGTCGAAGGCTTTCATGGCTGGAATCACTGGGTTGTTGTAGGTTTTTTCGGGCTATATGGCCATGTTCTAGAGACATTCTCTCCTGACATTTCGCCTGCATCTATGGCAAGCATTCTCACAGGTAGTGAGGTCTGTTGGAACTAGGAAAAGGGGTTTATATATCTGTGGAATGACCAGGGTGGGACAAAGAACTCCTGTCTGTTGGAGCTAGGTGTGAATGTTTCAACTGACCACCTTGATTAGCATTTGATGGCCTGGTTGTTTGGTGTGGCTTGTTAGTGCCTGGGGCAATCTTTTGTTGAGAGGTGATTAGATGTCCCTGATAGTTTCCTCTCTGTTGTTTTGCTGTAGTAATTTTAGAGTTTTTTTTTAAAAAAAATACTGTTAGCCAGATTTTGTTCATTTTCATTGTTTCCTCCTTTCTGTTGAAATTGTTCACATGCTTGTGTATTTCAATGGCTTCTCTGTGTAGTCTGACATGGCGGTTGTGAAAGTGGTCCAGGATTTCTGTGTTCTCAAATAAAATGCTGTGTCCATGTTGGTTCATCAGGTACTCTGCTATGGCTGATTTCTCTGGTTGAAGGAGTCTGCAGTGCCTTTCATGTTCCTTGATTTGTGTTTGGGCCATGCTGCTGCATTTGGTGGTCCCTCTGTAGACTTGTCCACAGCTGCATGGTACACGGTAGACTCCTGCAGAAGCGAGAGGATCCCTCTTGTCCTTTGCTGAACGTAGCATTTGTTGGATTTTCTTGGTGGGTCTGTAGATAGTTTGTATGTTGTGTTTCCTCATCAGCTTCCCTATGCGGTCAGTGGTTCCCTTGATGTACGGCAAGAACGCTTTCCCTCTGGGTGGATCTTTGTCTTTACTCTTGTGGCTTGTTTTTGGTCTTATTATTGTTTGAAACACCACAAGATAAATCCACAGTAGACACTCTGCTGGCTGTTTTATTGGATCACACGTCAGACACTTCCCAAGTATCTAGGACTGTGTGATGTATCGGCAAATAATGCGTGCAGATCCCAGTCGGGTGGCTTTTTGCAGCTGGCAGATGGTAATTTTTTAAGCGCCGATTGTGTTTAAGTGCAGGCCAAGGTCTTTAGGCACTGCACCCAGTGTGCCAATCACCACTGGGACCACCTTGACTGGCTTGTGCCAGAGTCTTTGCAGTTCGATCTTTAAATCCTCATATTGTGTCAGCTTTTCCAGTTGTTTCTCGTTAATCCTCCTGTCACCTGGGATTGCGACATCGACAATCCATACTTTGTTTTTTAACATGATCGTGAGGTCAGGAGTATTGTGCTTCAAAACTCTGTCTGTCTGAATCTGGTATTATTATTATTATTATTATTATTATTATTATTATTATTATTACCCTGCTTTATGTCTCCCAAATGAGACTCAAAGCAACTTGACATAAAAATTGGGTTGTAGGGTTGCTGTGAGTTTTTGTGGCTATGTTCCAGAAGCATTCTCTCCTGACATTTCGCCCATATCTATGGAAGGCATCCTCAGAGGTTGTGAGGTTGGAAATAGGCAAATGAAGCTTATATCTGTGGAATGATGTCCAAGGTGGGAGAAAGAACTCTTGTCTGCTTGAGGTAGGTGTGAATGTTGCAATTGGGCACCTTGGATTAGCATTGAATAGCCTTGCAGCTTCAAATACAGCATCGGCGAAACATGAATCAAGGAACATGTAAGGCACTGCAGACTACTTCAGCCAGAGAAGTCAGCCATAGCAGAGCACCTGACGAACCAGCCTGGACACTGCATATTATTTGAGAACACAGAAATGCTGGAACGCTCTCACAACCACCATGTCAGATTACATAGAGAAACCACTGAAAACCACAAGAAGCATGTGGACAATCTCAACAGAAAGAAGAAAACCATGAAAATGAACAAAATCTGGCTACCGGTATTTAAAAAAACTCTAAAAACAGGACAATAAATAAAGAACAACACTCTGAAAACGGGAAATCCAGAAAGGAAAAATCAGGGCCAGTTAACACCTCCCAACAAAGGATTCCCCCCAGACAGGAAGCAGCCTGGCTTTGAAGCTACAAGATCATTCAGTGCTAATCAAGGTGGCCAACTGCGACATTCACACCTGTCTCAAGCAGACAAGAGTTCTTTCTTCCACCCTGGACATCATTCAACAGATATATAAACCTCACTTGCTCAGTTTCCAACAGACCTCACAACCTCTGAGGATGCCTGCCATAGATGTGGGTGAAACATCAGGAGAGAATGCATCTGGAACATGGCCATACAGCTCGGAAAACTTACAGCAACCTATTCATTCCGCTCATGAAAGCCTTCAAAAACACAAATTGAGTTGTAGTTTTATGGGTTCTTTAACTTACTTTGCCAAAGAGGATTGGTGCCTCACCAAACTACATCTTTTAGTTAAAAGTGATATCAAGCTTCATTAACTCTATAGTGTAGATGCACCCAGAGAAAGAGAGATCTACAGCCAATAGCAAGAAATGCATAGGATGGATATCTGCTTTTTGCTAATGGGTTGTCAAAGCGGTGCCCCTGTAACCAGAAAAATGATATATTTTCTCTGACATGTGTGCAGGCATCTCTGCTATTAGTAGCACAATCCTTTTCTCATTCTCTCGCCACATCTTCTAATGTAAAGTGTGCAGATGTTGTTGCTTTTCTTACTCCCATCAGACAAATGAGACTTGCACTAAGGCATAGGAGTGCAAAGGACCATGCCTGAGATGGCGCTCAAAAAGCTGAAATGCTCAACTGCCCATATGTTCTGTTCCGACCCCGCATAGAGAACCCAGATGGCCATAGAGCAGATTTTCACTTCTTGGAGGTCTGGAATTGGCATGCTCTTCCCTAGCGTTTTGTGTGAGGTGGCCAGCTGCCAATCCTAGGCTTCCACTTGCATTACAAGCCTGATGCTTCATGTGGACATACGCCAAAGGGAACCATCTAACAAAATTGCCTTCGACTCTACGTCAACTGGACAGCCCAGGCCTCCGAAAAGATTGCTCCACGCCTGCTGTCAATGGGGATCCCTTTTCAAAAACAGGTGGCTAAACTGGTTTCCGTGGCCTCTTTGTGCACGTTATTTTATTTTTGAAACAAATAAATAAATATGTGGAAACGACACGTAAACAGATCTTCATTCCCCAACCTGGTCGGACAGGAATCTTCTTGGGTGTGTCAGCCTTATATAATTAGCTATGTAGCTGGATCTCTCTGATGTCTTTTGTAACATCTCTCGTTGGCTGGCTCTACCCAGCATAATTCAGGTGTTCATTTTCTCCTCCCCGTTCTTCCAGGTGTGGCATTTTGGTAGCGCTTTCGCTGTCATTCCTCCTCCACTCCTTGCTGGGACAGGAGCTTGAAAAGGTTTGTCTATTTTTGTGACAAGGGCAGGTGAGGCTGAACTTTGACTATTTCCTAACAGGGACCCAAAGTTGCAGGCCAGAAAGAAAGAGACAAAGCCCAGAAAGATAGAAGAAAGCCTACGGCATGGAGACGGCAAGGACAAATGGGACCACCGGGAAGCAAGAGGAAGGGAAGAACTCAACCTCTCCTAAGAAGGAGGGAGAAGAAGGGAAGAAACCCACCAGCCCAAATCGAGGGGAGAAGGACACCAACAAAAGCAATGCCTCGGTAGAAACAGGCCAACTGAAAAATTCTATTTATGCTGGGGGTGACTGGAAGAGACCAATTATCCAGTTTGTGGAATCATCCGATGAGAAGAGGTCAACCTACTTCAACATGGAGCCCGGGGAGTCCAAGAAGTCCAACTTTCCAAATGTGCAGATTGGAGAACCTCGGAGGCCCCAAGTTTCCTTCCCTGAGAGAGGAGATCTGAGGAAGTCCCTATTCAACATGGAAGCAAAGAAACCCTTTGCTAATGAAGCGGAGGAGAAGAAGTCATTGTATTCAAGCGGGGCGATTTCAGATCTCAGGAAGCCCATCCTCCGAGAATCAGGAGAAGCCAAGAGGAACAACTACAACCGGGCCAGCCGAAGTCCCACTTCCAGGCCCCGTGTCCTGGAAGAAGTCCTCTGTGACTCCTGCATCGACAACAAGCAGAAAGCGGTCAAGTCCTGCCTGGTGTGTCAAGCCAGCTTCTGTGAGCTCCACCTGAAGCCCCACTTGGAAGGGGCGGCTTTCCGGGACCACCAGCTCCTGGATCCCATCAAGGACTTTGAAGCCCGGAAATGCCCCGTCCATGGCAAGACGATGGAGCTCTTCTGCCAGACGGACCAGGTCTGCATCTGTTACCTCTGCATGTTCCAAGAGCACAAGAACCACACCACGGTGACGGTGGAGATTGAGAAATCTGGGAAAGAGGTACTGTCCTATTTTATGTCTTCTTCGTTTACTTGCTGTATACGTTACCCTTTTCTCCCTACCAGGACCACCGGGTTAGGCATATTAAGCCAAAGACAAGTGTCCCATTTCTAATACAGCTCAGTATCTCAAATAATGATGGCTGATCTATCTTTCCTTGCTACAGAACCCACAGGTGTTGGTTGGTATGGGCATATCCCTCATTTGATTGCTCAACATATGGTGACTTGCAGTATATGTTCAGGTTGTACTTAAAGTTGCATGCTAGGTGAGGTAGATAAGAAATTAATATTATTCGAAACACAAGATGAGTCCACAGCAAACAAGATCACTATGCTGGCTATTGTATTGGATCACACGTCGGACCCTTCCCAAGTGTCTAGGATTATGTGATGTATTGGTGAATAATGCGTACAGAGAATTAAAAGATGATTCAGAAGACTACTGCTACCAAAGTGAAGATGATTGGAAGCCGAACCTCAGCCCCTTTTCCCTAAGCCCATTTTCCTAGCCAAACCCACCTTATACCTCCTACCCCTAACCCAACCATACCATTCCTGAGCTTACCCTCCCTTCCTTTTTCTTTTAACTTAACCCTGTAATAAGAAAACTTCAACAAAATATTTTAAAAAATAATACAGCTGGCATATGGTAATCTTGTCAGCGCCGATTGTGTTTAAGTGCAGGCCAAGGTCTTTAGGCACTGTACCCAGTGTGCCGATCATCACTGGGACCACTGGGACTACCACCACCAATAATAATAATAATAATAATAATAATAATAATAATAATAATAATAATATACTAGATGCTTGGGAAGTGTTCTACTTGGGATTTTTTGATATGAAATCCAGCATATAGATCTCATTTGCTGTGAGATACTGGGCTTTTGTGTCAATAATAATAATAATAATAATAATAATGTTTTCAAAAAAAGGGCAAATGTTTTTGTGAGTCCATGGAGCTAACTCATAAATATGTAAACGTTTTTGCTTGATGCCAGTTGAAGAACATGCAACTTGTCCATCTTCACAACCACCTCTTTTTTATTTATTTCCTGCTTTCCCAGGATTGGGACCCAACAACTGAACCTTGTCATTATTGTCTGCTTTCAAATAATCTCTGATTAACAATGACCCTGAATAACTAAGATTTATCTCTTGTGTTGACTCTCCAACCAGTAATTGATAATTGGATCTACTCTACAATATTCAATCTGCCGAATCCTTGCTACCAATGTGGGCTAGGGGAGCTTTACCTTGGCATGGAAAAAAGTATTATATTTCAGCATGGTATTGTGTGGAAACTGGGAAAGCCGACATCTTTCCTTAAGTGGTACAGGTTTTGTTTCGCTGGGGAAAGGATGAAAAGAAAAGAGATCAAGGATCCTGTGCCTTTAACACTTAAGCAGCAGAGAGAGTTTCAGCTAGAGACTGGTTCAACTTGTCCTGGCACAGGCCTGCAGGCTGAGTAAGGCTGTACTTAGCGGAAGGCACTTTCTCCCTAGAACAGGCAAGAGTCTATTAAAAGAAAAAAAGTTGGCAAGAAGAAGGAAATATAGATGTCGGGTGCAGATTTGCTCAGAGCCAATGACTTATGTGAGCCTGAAAGAGATGGAGACCTGGACTATCTTTGAGAAGAAAGGCTGGATTCATAGAGTTGGAAGAGACCTCATGGGCCATCCAGTCCAACTCCATTCTGCCAAGAAGCAGGAAAATTGCATTCAAAGCACCCCCCAAAAATGGCCATCCAGCCTCTGTTTAAAAGCCTCCAAAGAAGGAGCCTCCACCACACCCCGGGGCAGAGAGTTCCACTGTCAGGAAGTTCTTTCTGATGTTCAGGTGGATTCTCCTTTCTTGTAGTTAGAAGCCATTGCGTCCGAGTCTCCAGGGCAGCTGAAAACAAGCTTGCTCCCTCTTCCCTATAACTTCATAGAATCATAGAGTTGGAAGAGACCTCATGGGCCATCTAGTCCAACCCCATTCTGCCAAGAAGCTGGAAAATTGCATTCAAAGCACCCCTAACAAATGACCATCCAGCATCTGTTTAAAATCCTCCAAAGAAGGAGCCTCCACTACACTCCAGGGCAGAGAGTTCCGCTGCTGAACAGCTCTCACAGTTAGGAAGTTCTTTCTGGTGTTCAGATGGATTCTCCTTTCTTGTAGTTTGAAGCCATTATTTCACTGCGTCCTAGTCCTCAGGGCAGCCGAAAATAAGCTTGCTTCCTCCTCCCTCTGACTTCCTCTCACATACTTATACATGGCTATCATGTCTCCTCTCAGCCTTCTCTTCTTCAGGCTAAACATGCCCAGCTCTTTAAGCCGCTCCCCATAGGGCTTGTTCTCCAGACCCTTGATCATTTTAGTCGCCCTCCTCTGGACACATTCCAGCTTGTCAACATCTCCCTTCAATTGTGGTGCCCAGAATTGGACACAGTATTCCAGGTGTGGTTTAACCAAGGCAGAATAGAGCATGGGTAGCATGACTTCCCTGGCTCTAGACATTACAATCCTATTGATGCAGGCCAAAATCCCATTGGCTTTTTTAGCTGCTGCATCACATTGTTGGTTCATGTTTAACTTGTTGTCCACAAGGTCTCTTAGATCTTTTTCACATGTATTGCTCTCAAGCCACACGTCCCTCATTCTGTCTCTTTACATTTCATTCCTTTTGCGAAGGGTTTGCAGATTCTCCAGAGTCCCCTTGGCAACATACACAAGAGTAATATCAATCTACACCTCCATATAGAATTCAAAGATATAGCTATATTAGTCTGGAATATCACTATGCAAAGTGACAAGGTTCTTATAGCACTTAGGGCAGTGGTTCTCAACCTTCCTAATGCTGTGACCCCTTACAGTTCCTCCTGTTGTGGTGACCCCCAAACATAAAATTATTTTCATTGTTACTTCATAAATGAAATTTTGCTACTGTTATGAATCGTAATGTAAATATCTGATATGCAGGATGTATTTTCATTCACTGGACCAAATTTGGCACAAATACCCAATATGCCCAAATTTGAATACTAGTGGGATTGGAGGGAGGGACTGGTTTTTATCATTTGAGAGTTGTACTTGCTGGGATTAATAGTTCATCTACAATAAAAGAGCATTTTGATCTCCACCAATGATGGAACTGAACCAATCTTGGCACACAGGACTCCCATGAACATCAGAAAACACTAGCAGGGTTTGGTGGGCATGGATCTTGAGTTTGGGAGTTGTAGTTCATCTACATCTGTGGACTCAAACAATGATGGATCAGGACAAGATTTGGCACAAATACTCAATATGCCCACATGTGAACACTAGTGGAGTTTGGGGAAAATAGACTTTGGCATTTGGGAGTTATAGTTGCTGGGATTTATAGTTCACATACAATCAAAGAGCATTCTGAACCCCACCAGCAATAGAATTGGACCTAACTTTCCACACATAACCCAGATGACCAAGAGAAAATACTGTGTTTTCTGATGGTCTTCGGCGACCCCCCTGGCACCCTCTCGCAACCCCCCCAGAGGTCACTACCCCCAGGTTGAGAAACACTGACTTAGGGTCTGAAAGAACAAACTTGGTAGTATACGCTTTCATTCACTTATGTAAGAGCAAGTCTACAGAACTATAGTATTTCTTTACGCTCTGAGCAGATGCCAAAGCAACTATGATGGTCGCCAGATGTACCAGGCTGGATCTGTTATGGAATCATGCTAGGCTTCGTCTACCCTTTTGTTCTTATAGTTTGTCTCTCAAATTTCATCTACACTGCCATATAATCCTATCTATGAATCCAAATTATCTGTTTTGAACTGGATTATATGTCAGTGTAGACTCATATAATCCAGTTCAAAGTAAATAATCTGGATTCAGAGACTGGATTATATGGCAGGGTATATCTAGCCTCAGGTGCTACAAGACACACATGGATTGAGGCGCGCAACACCTCTGTTTGCAACACCTCCCTGTGCTTTTTAATCTACCCATCTCTTGTTGGGCCACTCCTCTTCCCATTTTGTGGGAAGCCGCACAGTGGGCCTCTCAATTGGCATGGTGTTGGGCATCCCACCACCAAACTGATAATTAAAGAGTGCAGGAAATGGAAAGAAACACATCATTATTCCTGGTACCGCTTTGTGCCTTGCCAGTATAATCGAATATCTTGCGCTAGGTTTTATTTCAGAAGGTATACTTTCACGCGTTCTCCTCTTATTCTCTCCTTGTCACTCTGTTTTTGAGAGTGGAGGAAAAAGGGAGGGATAAAGGCACAATCCAGTTTAGAAATAACATATATTTTATTTAGAGGATGTACTTGGAATCTACTTACTTACTTAGGCGATCCCTCGACGTCCGAGTAGGACATCTTCCAAGATCAGTTTTCTGGTGGGTCCGTAGGTGACTGTGGAGCCCTATTCTTGACCTGCATCTTCTCCTGCAGTGAGGGCATTGGTTCCAGGTGAAATGCAGTCTTGATCGGGGTTGGCTTGATGCGCCTTCCTCTTGGCACGTTTCTCTCTTTCGTCCTCCCTCCGTGCCTCTTCAAATTCTACAGCACTGCTGGTCACAGCTGACCTCCAGCTGGAGTGCTCAAGAGCTAGGGCTTCCCAGTTCTCAGTGTCGATGCCATAGTTTTTAAGGTTGGTTTTGAGTCCATCTTTAAATCCCTTTTCCTGTCCTCCAACATTCTGTTTTCTGTTCTTGAGTTCAGAGTAGAGCAACTGCTTTGGGAGACGGTGGTCGGGCACCCAGACAATGTGGCTGATCCAGTGGAGTTGATGGCGGAGGACCATTGCTTCAGTGCTGGTGGTCTTTGCTTCTTCCAGCATGCTGACATTCCAGAAATTCCAGAAGTTGTATGTGACGCCTGTAGACAGTCCACGTCTCGCATTCTATAGCAGGGTAGGGAGGACAATAGCTTTATAAACAAGCACCTTGGTATCCCTATGGATGTCCCGGTCTTCAAACACTCTGTGCTTCATTCGGAAGAATGCTGCATTCGCGGAG